CTCTCTCGCGGCTGCGAATGCAACAAGTGGTCGGTCGGCCGTGGTGGCTCTTCCGCTTTTCTTTCCGCGGGCTTGTCGATATTCCGACGCGTTGGCACTTTCTCCGACGACGACGCGATTGGAAATAGAAGCCATCCCCGTCTCTCCTCCTTCTCTTGCTCATGTCGCGTCTTGGCCGACGATTACAAAACGAGAAGGCGAGGGTAAACGACATTACGGCGCGCGTCGGGCTGGAAAATATATTTCGCGGGAAGAGCTGTGTTGCGGTTCCAGCGGCGAGATTCTATTCGGCTAGGTGTTTGTGTGTGTGTGTGTGTGTGTGTCTATATACATATACATATACATGTTCCGACTCTTTCGAGAAATATCGTTAAAAGGAAACACGGCTAATTACCGTGCTCGCTCGCGTGTAACGAGCGTAATTTCTATAAGGGAAAAGGTGTCTTTAAAAGTCAAACGATGCGTTGGGAGAGAAAAAAGAAATGACAGGTCTTTTTACCGCGACTCGCATTTAATTTCCCTCCTATCCACTCGATAATTCTCTCCTTAATCTTTTATCTCGAATACTTTGTAAATATTGATGCCGCGTTCTCGATTGATATCCGAATCGAAAATCAATTAACCGTATCACTTTTTCCTCGACAAATATGTTGAAAAAGTTTAATCGAAATCAAGTCGATCCGTGTCCCCTGATGTAACACGTAAAAAGCTCTCTCTCTCTCTTTCGGCATTCAGCCGGGTTATCGTTTGCCTTTATACGCACATACACATTGTGAAACTCTCGACTGTCGATATTTTTATTTAAAAAGCCGCGTCATATATACGCGCAAAAGTGTACATACAGAGGCCCGGAGAGCGAAAATCGCGCGTTGTTATCTCCGACGATATTGCGCACTCGCGCGCGATATGGCGGTATTGATTTCCTGTCGCACCGTATGTCGTGGCGCACGTTTCCGAGCGCGTGTACGTTATTACCGAACGACGACGACGACGCGGAGGGTGGAAGGGAAAAATTCTCTCCCAACCCCCTCGATATATAGCGGCAATTTCGCCGTCAATTTGATCGTCGGGCAAAGTTGATCCTCCCGCGCGTCGTCGTTTCCTCCAATAACACGCCAGATTGATCTAATGCGTGCAAAACCGAATCATCGTCACCGCGATCGCTTTCATCAATATCTAATTAACGGATCGGAGCCGGCTCTCCTGTCTTATCGTCCGAGAAATATACGAAAAACGGTGATATTGCATGCAATTTTCCGGCATATCGCGGCTTTGGTTTAAAAGAAGAAAAAAAGATTCACATACTGCGTGAAAATGATGTAGAAACTTGTTACATGTACACGTCAGCGTTGCAAGCTGGCCTTCCATTTCCTCGCGACGAAGCGATTAATATGTAAATGCCGGCGAGATGTAATGTAATTATCTCGCGCGCAAAAGTTGTAATAGTATAATCTCTGTATGTTCTTGCAATTTAACCTTTTGCGATCCGTGTAAATTCTCATGCGAAATACCGCGGAATGAGTCCGACTTTTTTTGGCTATAATGTTATATGCTACAAGGTAATTCAATGCGAAAAATAATGTAACGGTACTCACAAAAGACAGATTTTATTTTTCAACCGGAAATTTCATTTCATTTATTTATATATTTTTGTATTGTTAAAATAATAAAATAATTGTAAAAAGAATTTTATTAATGAAACATATTTTATTCGCAAAATATGTGAAAGAACGAAATAATAAAAACACAACATATATCTTTCCTTTGAATAATTACGACTTGAAACAATTTCTACGAGAGAAAGCGAATTAAAAAAAGACTATGCGATCAAAATGTGATGCAGATAACTACGCGAATCATTATTTTTAGCAGGAGTAGGCGTTTCAGTAACGAAATATAATGCCCCATTTATACTTTGCTGATATAATTAGTCATAATAACAATATATTCAGCGAGGTGCCTCGTAGGCACACTTGGACCGCAAAAGGTTAACGTTGTAACGCCACGCTTTTATCGGTCCGCGACTGTGCAAATTTACGCGGCTCCGCATAGCTGCGGCTCGTTAACGCAGTAATTGCCGCAACCTCGTGGGATTCTTTCCTTTTTTTTTCGTTTTATTTTTTTTTTATTTTTTTGCTTTAATCGCCCACACCTCTCGCTTTCGAGGACAGTCGTCGATATCACCTATTTTCAGAGGGAGATCGAGCCACGTCGGGGATCGCAGGGTATTTTTGCGACCGAATATCGCGTGTTTATTTTCGAAGACTGTAACGAGGAATGTGTACACAGAGACTGTGTAAACCTACACGGCTCCGCATAACCGCCACTGATATCGCCTGCTGTGCACTTTGCGCTCTCGTCCTCTGATACAGTCCTACAATAATCATTCCGAACCGGAAGAAATGTAATATAGTATCCGATCGACGCGCACACTTTCATTTCGTATATAGGTACTTGCAACAATTTGCGCGCGCGAGGGAATGTAAAATAAAATTTGTAAAAAAATATAAATTTCAATCAAAGCGTGATTGGCCGGTATCCCGAGATCAGGATATTATTTCTCGGAATTATATTTCATTTTACAAATGCTATCTCGAGTAGTTCGCCTTCGACAATCGATAATGACAGGCAACGAGTTAATGACGCGGAAGTGTTTCATCCGAGCGTGAGACTATTTCGAATACGCATTACATTTTCCGCGCCTAACGTTGATACAATATGACGTAATCAGTCTTCTCTCAATATAGTCAATACCGACGTAGACTGGAACGGACGTAATATAAGGTTAAACGAAAATGGCTGGTCGGAGTAATTGACCTCTTTAACGTGCGTAAATTGCATCTTAAAAAGACACAATTTACGTAATAAGACGTAATTTAATGTACAAGATGTATGTGCATTTGGCGAGACCGGCTCGGCAAGGATTTTTTATTTTAATTGTGTGTTGTGACAATTTTTTTTATTAATATTAATAGATGTACAAAATACAAAATTGCTCGGTGGAGAAGGTTGAAACAAGAAATAGCTCTGAAAAAAAAGAGTTACGTTTACTCTCATATATCAACCGGGTAGCTTTCCCTTGAAGAGAAAAAAGGAAACACGCGTGATTGTGATCAACAATTTTGATCGCGCATGATGCGCGAAATTTAAACGCGCACACGGCATTTAGCAAAATTACCATATGTCATTATCTTTCGACGTGGACATCTCTCGTTTCATCGGCGCTCGTCACGCGAAGAGAAATTTTTGCCAACGGGTGCATTTGACGGCGAAATTTGACGGGCAAAAAATATTCAACGCAATTTTTGAGGGGAACAAAATGTTTATGTATCATGTATTCAACTTTAATTATCGATAAATGAAAAGAATAATGTAATTTAAAAAACTTTTCTTTCTTTTCTCTCTTGAATGTTTCATCAGCGATTGACGGATATTGGCAAATCGCCAATCATCGTGATGATTAAAATCGTATACATTTTTTTCGCCTTCTCTATTTGTATAGCCGATTTTTAAGGTTCCTGGAGGTCCTTGCCGCGGCCTTGTTGGATTGTGACTTTAGCAAGCACACGCTGAAAATTCTTAGATGTCATTTTTAAATGAGAAGATATTTCGATGAATCATTATTTCAGATGGCTTTGACACATAACTTAAAATACCTTCAAAACTATTCTTTTCCCGACAGTCAATCAACAACCGTAAAATGATCGTGATATCAGACCTTGTCGTGTGCATGTGCAGATTAGATATAAACTGGGCCTTCTATAGTACGTTATTTTATAGCTGTTGATTGATTATATTATTATAAGGGTGTGCCAAAGTTATCTGAAGTGTTTTTTAAATTTCGAAATAGCAGAATTTTGAGCGTATTTTCTCGCCTCTGACGTCACAATTCCAACATGGTCGGCGAGGCGCCACTAGTCTTAATAATGTTCCTTTTTGCGGGAATACGAGATGGTGACTAATGGAGTACATTCAATTTTGGGGGATGCCGGCCGAATATCCCGCTGACGGATAAGCGAGATAACGAGGCAACTTTTGTTCGACGCGTTTAATTGTGGCGATATCTTACGGAGTACCACCTTGGACGGAGGCAAATGCGCACAGGGAAAGTTTAACCGCGCGCTCGTTAATTTATGCTACCTCCGATAAACGATCGTCGCGCAGTCGTCCGGGACGAGGAGATTGCGAGCTGTTTAAACTCGTATTTCGCGGTTCATCTTATCCTCTAGTCTCAACATCTCTCCATCCAGGGAGTGTTTTTCTGATATCAAAGTGCCGAAGCGGGAATTTCCTCTTGTAGTCTCTTAGAATATTGCGACGGAATATGACGCGTTTTATTTTACTATTTGTACCTACTAATGCATTTATGAAAGTTCCGAGAAAAGGTAATACGGAGAAAAAGATGTATATGATGTCTCGATTCCTTGCTTTTACGATATTTTAGTATCTTTTGATATCTTTATCAGAGAAAGTATCTCTTTCATCTATCAATTACACTCATTACGATTTTATAAGGATTTTATTACTTGACATTTTCTATCCTTGCGCGTTTTTCTTTTATTTCTTTTGTCGCTAAATCACCAATTAGCGCCTTTCATTATGTGCGATGTAATACTTTCAGCATCTATATTTGGCGCGAACAAACTCCGTTCTACTATTAAATTTCGTTAAAAATTTACTTTCGGTTTTCTCGACATCTCGCGTGACTTTCTTCTATTTTTGACATCACGCGAATCGTAAAAACATTTCATACGCGTTTTCGGCTAATAACCCAACCCGATGAAGGAGCTTTATTTTAGGACAGTCGAGTTTTATATAATCGTACATTATGCATCGTCTCTCTGACTTTTCCATATTTGTCGAGCGAGAAAAATTTGGCTATTCTTGAAAAGATTCCATCTGTAAAATCTATCCTCCAAATCGTACTTTTTTCGTAGCGAGAAATTTCGTCGAAGATAAACATAGATGGAAAGTAACGCGAAACATTTCTTCTGTTGCAGAGAAACGCCGACACAAGATAATCGCAGACACATACGCCACAAAGTTCCCGGATTATACGTTTCTGGATTTGCGGTTGGAAGAGGATCAAACCGTGTTTCGAAGCCGTTCGACGTTCTGCGTGGAGATAAAACCTAAGCAGGGATACCTGCAAAAGGCGGAGCAGAGGTTTCCCGGATGTCCGTATTGTCTCAATCAGTATGCCAAGGTAAATTGAATCGTTTGATGAATTTTTACATTGATATTACACCGAAACAATGAGATACCGAAATGAGATATGGAAATTTTTTAGCTACGCAAGGGAGACATCGTCGCTCGTAGCAATTACTGCCCGTTCGAGCTCTTCTCCGGAGTGGAAGCGCGGATGAAGGCCGCCGTGAAGGAGCTTCTGAATTCACCGCAAAACAATTTGAGAATCTTTAAGGACGGCACCGTCGTCTACAATCAGGAGTCGTCGCCGAACGATCTCGAGGACGTGCTGAACGAATGGTTTCGGAATGCGACGACAACGACGAGCAGCGGACGAATTCGCCGCTCGAACGTCGACGAGTTTTGCAATTTGATATGCGCCGCTCTTACGCGGCCTTTCGCGCAAGAACAGCTGGACGAATTGTCCGCCGCTTGCTATCCGTGTAATTTACCCTTATCCGCGAATCAAGATCCAACATTCTGCGCCGACCCGGACGCGATCGCAAGAGCCGAACGCTGCCTTCGCCTCGCGGGAAAGGTTGGGGTTGCACCGAAGACAATTTTATCGAAATAATCACTATAATACCTTTAAGACTCCTCGCCGACCATGTTGGAATTATGGCGTCAGAGGTGAGAAAATACACGTTAAAAATTCTCAGATACCATTTCGAAATGAGACAGCATTTTAGATGACTTTAGCACATTCTTAAAATACCTCGAAAATTAGCCTTTTCTTTTTATAATCAATCAATAACCGTAAAATGAATGTAATATGAAGCCCAATCCGTCTGGTCTTTGCACAATCATTCCGTATGATAAAGTTTGGTATCACAATTATTTTACGGTTGTTGATTGACTGTCAAGGAAAAAGAATAATTTTCCAAGTATTTTAAAAGTGTGCTAAAGCCATCTGAAATCATTTTTCGAATAAAAATGACATCTAAGAATTTTAAGCGTGTGCTTTCTCGTCTCTGATGTCATAATCTAACATGGTCACGGCGAGGAGCCAGGAGTTTTAACTGTAATTTTTGTTTTTTTTATTTCGCAGATTTGTAATTTTGACGGCGACGAGTTGCCAAGAAATTCAGTGCTGGAGAGAATTTGGAATATGCAGCGATTGTCTTACGTCAATACCAATTATATTTACGGCATTTACTCCGATTTTGCGTCGTTACTGAATGACGATACGATATACTCCGACTTGATGGAATTACGAAACGAGACTCACGCTAGCACGGTATTTCGTGCTTTACCCGGTAAAGTCACGGTACGTAATGTCGTATTTTTACCGTGAAAAATGTCAGAATGCACGAGTACATTGCTTCTCTGTTTTAGAATGCAGTTATTCAAAAGGAGGAAGACATAAAAGAAATCAACTCCGAAACGCTTCTTGAGAGCACCGTTGCAAGAGGATACGATGACAATTCCAACGAAAACCATAATAACGCTAGTCCGGAGTGTATCTTATCTACTAATGTCCAGAGAATAGTCGCAAATGGCTATTTCGCGTCTCAAACAGAAATTAGTGCCAACCTAGATTCGCGCCGGTTATTTCATGGAAGTTTGCATAATCAGAGCACTAACGACGAGCAAAAGACAAATATGCAGATTATCGCCAAACATTTATCGACGTTGCGAATGTATCTTTTATTCGCCACTGCCAGAGATTGCTCGATATTAATGACCTTCCGCGAATTGCATCCGTAAGTGCATTGTTCGAAACAATAGCCTGTATTTTCACCTCATGTTCAAAGCGCTGTTCAAACAATTGCATACAATTTTCTAACAAAGGCAAAAATGATGATAAAATTGAGTTAATACGATAGTTTCTATGAGGGGGAAATACTTTCTATAGTTAATTATTCTTTATAACTATTGTCCAAATCGTATAGCAATCACCCAACATACCGCATTACGATGAGCAATTGACATTTATTTGATTATGATTATGTGATCCTAAATGAAATAATTATAATTAGTTTATAAAAAGTGTCTAAAACTATTCATAATATACAAACATGCGAATCATTATTTACTATATTAAATGCAACGAGCGAGCGGTTACTTTCATTATATTAAATATGTATCAGATAATTAGAAGTATTGATTTTCTAACGATTATGATTTTTCTCTTATACAGCGAAAACTTGTCAAAAGTGCTCGTGGAAAATACAATCAAGCTTTCGGAGCAACTTTATTTCTTAAGCAGTGTCAGAGTCTCGGATTTGGACCCGAAAAGTGTTCACTCCATCAAGAAGCATCGACAACGAGATCTGGATATCTTTGATTCTGTGATTTCTTTAGCGAAAGATATTTTTCCAAGAGTATAGATGATTGCCAAAGAAGCGATGCTAGTAATAATACAGTATAAAGATAAAGATTTAGTACAAGATAAAGAGAATCTATATGTATATATTGTACATGTGCACTTAATTGAAGATATGCTTACCGATTAGCGTGTTATTTTTAATAATACGTAAGATTCCATTCTCTCTTTAATAGTCATTTCAATTTCAATTCCTTTTCTATGTGGAATATTAAGATTGTTCATATATCGCATAATATATGCATGACTCAATCATATAATATCTCTTTTGTAAAGTATTTTAGAAATTACTTTGGAATGGATATATGTATAAGAAGTAATAAAGAAAAGAGAAAAATTGCACATATATATTAGAGAAATCAACGATAAAAAAATATTTATCCTTTGATTTTTGTTTTAAATTTTTCATTATTATGCACAAACAAAATTTGCAATGTTTTCAATCTTTCACAATTCAGATGTAATATACAATGATTCTATATTATTCTTTTCTTTCTCTCTCATTAACTGTATACAACTTTCAAATCAAACAATGAAGATTTGCAAAATGATTATATTAATGTAATACAAAGTCACAATTATCTCAATGTTCAAAACTCAATTAATCGTTAATATTTATAATTAAGATACGTTTCTTTAGTTTTTTATATAGAAATCTTGAATTGTATTTCTTTTCCATATTACACTTATGCATGCATATAAACATGTTCGCATTATATAACAGTGTACAGATTAATCGTTTAAAATTATTATTATATATTGACCTTTTTATTTCTCTTCTTTATCACTTGTTTATAAAAATATAGCAATGTACGATTTCCACTTCTCATATTTACATTAAAAAAAGAATTCTGATAGGAATATTACAGGAATAGAAATATTGAGATATTTAAATCTGTCTTATCATTTATCATATTTGTTGCTTCCGTTACATATTCGACTTTTCTATTGCATATTCGATATAATTTATCGCGTTTTGGTATAATCTCGCAATTTTTCATTAAACATTAATTACGAACAAAAAAGTTTGAAATATATATATATATATATAAATGAAAAATTGATTGAGTGTGTACAAATGATAGCATTGAAAATCAACATTCTTAAATTAAATATCTTTCAATAAAACACTATTTTTTCATAATAATACAATTATAATAATATAATTAGTACAACTTCTTTTACTTGCTGCATGATTGTAAATGATTTATAATTATCAGTCTAACAATAAGAAAGACTTATTTTATGTGATTCGAGAAAAAAAAGAAAAACTCTTGTAGACATGCGATATATGAACTTAATCATGTTTTTCAATATGGATCATAGCTTATTGAATTTATTCATTTCTAACTACCTGTTTAATGGATGGAATCTTACAATGGCCTATAGTTGAAATGCATTATTATCAAAAAAGTGCCTTAGAGCTAAAAGTACTTAACTTTAATAACTGTAAATATGTATGTAGACTACACAAATATAATTAATACCCCTCTTAAAAAATAAGAGATAAAGTGCAAATGTTTTTATAATTTATTGCTGTTGCGCAGATTATATTTACTATCAGTATTAGATTATATTATTTTTTCTATATGAAATAATTTGAGCAATTTATATGACTGCGATAGAAAAATTTATATTACAAAGCTATAGTATGGATATATTATTTAATTCAAAATAATTCTCTTTTGTGTGTATATAAAATGTATAAAGATGTTGCGTATATCATAAGACTGTGATTTTGACAACAGGTTGTTTAAACTTAGTGTTAATGTTTTTTTCTTAGTTGGGAAAGAAGATATGAAATATGCTATCTGTGATAACAGACAGGAAAAATATGTAATTTGTTTATATCCAAAAGACTGTGTACAATTTAGTAATTGTCTCAAAAATAAAATTAAGTAACATTATCATATGTGAAGTGATAGCCAAATTCAAAATGCCAAATTTAAAACATTAGCTAATTATATTACTTATAAGATACAAAATAAAAAATAGATTAGATCAAAAATCTTATTTTAAAAAAATTGTGAGTGTAATTAAAGAGAGAACTTTCTTTCAAAATGATAAAAAAGTTGGTAAAATATAAGTACTTCAAAATTTATATCAACTATCTAGTATACTATTAAAACTTATATTAACTATCTGATCATATATGTGTTGAAATATAATGTGATATTAATTTAAATACTACATAAATGTTTTATATTATACACGTATTATATATACAACTGTACATGCACAGGTTATATATATATTACATATATTTATAACATTATTGTGTTTTTGGTTTTATTACAGATATTGTTTACCCTTAATAAACATTTTTATAAAATATTACAAATGTGAATTTATGTGAATATATGTAATTACACGCAGTTGATAAAATCATTACTATCCGCAAAAAATTTAATAATGATTATAAAAATTGTAACCTCTCAATAGACTGTCGAAATGTAGCACATTCACACAACAATATCCCAATAACACGATCGAATTTTTTCGTACGGGCGATTGTTCCGGGTACAAGGCCATGTTGCACAGTTATGAATGACGTGGTAGCGAGGTGGGGTGAGCGTGCACCAGTGTTGACCGAACCAGGACCGTGCTAAGCTAAACCGTCACCCTGTGCAAATTCTTAAAAAATTGGATGACTAAAATATAATAAAAGAAACATAATATTCTCCAACCAGTTCGAAAAATTGTTGTCATTAAAAGAAAAGAACAGTCGCAAGCTATAAAAATTATAAAACGTCGAGGGAACGTACTTCAACATTAATTACGCGCGAATAATTTACAAAGGAAATAATTTAAAAAGGAAAAAACAAGAGAGAGAGAGAGGAACGAAATAAATAATTGACAGTCGTGACAATAATTCGTATCTCGTATTTCACGCATTCTAGAGTACAAGTATTCAGTTGTCTTTTGATTCCTTTTCATTTTAAGGCCAGTTTCATCACATCTCCAACTTGACTTAATCGGTTGATTAAATATAATCGGCATAAAATTAATCAACTTTATCTAGATTTACAAAAAGATGTCTACTTTGCAGGTGGTAATTTTTAAATCGAATCGATCGATTAAGATAATCGGAGAAAATATGGGCGTCCGCAGGATTTTTTTTCAAGAGTGGACATAATTAATAAATTTTTATGTTCTTCCTTAATGTATTTTTATTTTTTATACTAAATATAGAAATTCAAAAGGAGGACAAGTGCTCTCTTTCGTCCGCCGAGAGATCGTAGTTTCGCGCGGAGAGGATTCGATTTTTCGCGCCGGCCCTGAGCACGTGGCGCGCGATTGGTGCGTCAATGGAGCGATCGGGCGCGTTCGGGCGCGCTCGGCCATCTCCGGCCCCCACCATCGCGAGTGCCTCTCCCATCGAGATCGGGGGCGATTCGCGGCGGATTTCGCGATAGTGTGGTGGTCGGTCAGTCGACGTTCATAAATGATGACGTAAGGTCGCGGCTCGTAGCGAGCCTGGCGATTCGCGGTACGTGGTAACGGCCTGTCAGTGAACCTCGGACGGAGATGGGGACGCAAAAGCCCGGAGAATGGGCGAATTTGGTGCTCGCACGTTTCGAGGATCAGGTGCGTGAGTGGTGGCCGACGAGAAGCGTCGTCGTTTCTCTCCCGTTCATTTCCTGGTTCCCTCTCTCTCTCCTTCTTTCTCGGTCTCTGTTTCGCTACCCTCTTCCGGTGTGGCCACCTCCTTCCCCTAATGTCACTTCCACGATGCACGGGTGTATTCGTTTCCGCCTTTCTCGGACTCATCTTGGAGCGCGATTCCGTTTCGGGATCGGTTTCGTTCCTCGTGCGAGTCTCTCTCCCTCTCTCTCTTTTTCTCTGTTCTCCGAGTATCGAATTTCGAGTTCTCTCGATGCGCAGGGTAGAATTCGCGCGAGCGGACAGGTGGACCAGCTTATGGATCAACGACTGCGAGGACGGTGCTCGTGCGATTTTGACAGCCGGTTGACATTTGACAATCGGTTAGCGTCGACTCGAACCGAGACGGCGGTTTGACTTCGAAGAACATGCGAAAAATAATCGTACCTCGGATACCTTGACGGATTGATCTATCCGATCGGGAACTAGTCCTTGGGAATTGATATCGGGCAATGAAACGAATTTCCCATTGTCATATACGCGATTTATGCTATCGCACGCTCAAATTCAAGTATAGATTTCCCGGGATGTTTATTTTTCGCTTCATCCTTGTGCGTGTTTGCTGCCCGCGAGAGATATGTAGAATTGCATTGCGTGTGATTTTTGGATGTGATAAGAGTGGAATTTTTCATCGATGAAGCAAAACTGACCGAATCATTAACATTTCAACGTCATCGTAGAATGGCGAAACTGTGGCTTGAAAAAATACGTAATTGAGACGTTATTGATAAATGTTATCTCTTAAAATTTGATACAGTTGCGATAGAAAACTCTCTCCATCCTTGTTGCCGTATGACATATTGTTTCAGTGACATCTAAATTAAATGTGCGACGCGATCAAACCTGTCCCACATTTCGATTCCACATAACCCTCCTTTTGATAATAAAAAAAAAAAAAAAAAAAAAAATGGATACCTCGCGTTATCGATGAGGGTCAATGCGTATCAACAAAGGGAGCGATCACCCCAATCCCCGACAGAATGCGATGTCGTACCTTCCCTCCTCGATTCGTTCATTCATGAAAAGATACATTCTTGCAAAGATGGCCCCTCCTTCCCCAGCTTCCCTCATGCGGTTTGACCTTCGTTCCTCCCCTCCCCCACCCCTTCCGCCTCCAGTCAACCTTGCTGTGAGAGCAGCTCAATCAAGGTGTATATACAGTAACGTAACTAAGGAGGGTATATACGAGGATATATATATAAATATATCGATATCTACTTCCGTATTTCACGCGTGAGTTTTCCTCGGCGATTCGAGATTTCGCGACTGCAAAAGGAAAATATATATATATATATATATATTTCCACTTTAATTGGAATCTTCGAATTGTTTGTAGAGTTCGCGCGCGCGGTAAATATTTGCGTCGCGATATTTACCGAGTTGATTAAGTGGTTAATATAGTATATATATCCTCGTCGCGCGAAAGACTTGATATATACATGTGTATATGTTATATATATATATATATAAAGTCGGCTTCGTTCAGCTCGGCCCGAATATTCTCTCCCCGCCCAGCAGCTCTCGCGACTCGCCTTCGTTCATGAATATCATCCATGAATGAAAGTCGCTTTACGCACTTGAGCCCGATACGTCAAACAAAAAGGAATAAAACCGGAATCGATTGCGTCGCACGAGCGTATAAATTGACGTTTCGAGCGCGCGCACATTTCGTCCTTAACGCCTCTTTCATGCACATACTTTTTTCCCTTTCGTCCTATATGCAACATGATAATTGAATTCGTCAATGAACGCTTTGATTTTTCTTTGCTCGCTATTATTTTTGCTTCCCTGTAGAATGATTTCGCTCTTTGAATTTGTAGCTGCCGTGTCGTTCCGGGCCCGAAAGTCCTCACTCACGAGTGAACGAGAAGAGGTGTAAGAAATGCTTGATAGAGATCTCTCGGTACCGTTTCTCTCTCGTCATATCCGGCCTTACGAAGATGCTGCAGCGCGTCAACGAGCTGACGCCGAACACGAGCGGCCAGCGTCCGTTCCATACCATGGACCAGGATCGGCAGGAGTCCATCATCATCGTCCTGGACACGTTGGAGAAGTGTCTGGCGAATACACCAAAGGACACGACGAAATTCGAAGAGGCCATGAATGTAAAACTGCTACTCCGAGAAATATGCCAGTTCATAGGTGAGCGAAACAAACGATCCCAGCAAACACCGATATGTAATTGTTACATTGCTGTAATAAAATGGAATATAACAGGTAATATAACGTGTACATTACATGTAACATCCATGTTAGTTGTCATTTCCAACTCATAGATGTAACATTTTAATATAACATATATTACATTGTAGTTATATTGTAATTATATACCAAATAGCACATCGATGTATTGATAAGTCAGTGCTATCTTGGGATATAATGACAATATAACTACAATGTAATATATGTAATATTAAAAATGTTACATCTATGAGTGGGAAATTACAACTAACATATACGTTACATGTAACATGCTTGAGTATATAACATTTATATACTGTGTTTGCTGGGTATCTTTCATATCTTCTAAAACTGGAATTAAATTTCCAATTTCTACAATTGTAATTTTTGATACAGGAATTCCGTCAGACAGTCCACAGACGAAAATGATTAAGGATCTGGCGAGCAAAGTGTTGTTCGCCCTAAGTCTGAATTTCTTCAATGCGGTCTTCAATCGGATATCGGCCAGACTTCAGGAACTGTCCAACAGCGGGGATGAGAATCCGGATTGTAGCGACATCGAGCTGATGCAATATATCAATGTCGACGTCCATAGACTGACCAGACTTCTGAATGGTATGCGACGAATATTGCAATGTAACGCGATTACATACAAAATCAAATGTATTTCTAATTGTACGCTTGTATCGTGATTGCTTTTGCTGCAGAAACGATACAGAAAGTCCGGCAACTGAAAAAGTCGGCGCATCTTGTGCTCATGAATTCCCTGGAAAGGGCGATCTGGAATTGGATGGACACTTATCCGCAAGAATTCGCCGATCTGCAGAAGCAGCCTAACGAGGATCTCAGTAGGGCGTGCGAGGAGCTGTTCGACATTCTCGATACGTTTGTCGATAAGAAGAGCCGCGCCGCGGTGGTGTGGCCGTTACAAATGATGCTGCTCGTACTCTCCGCTAAGGTTCTGGAGGAGATTGTGAACGCCGACTCTGGACCGCCTGGTTCACCGCGGTACTCGAAGAAGAAGCAGTTCATCGACAGCGTGAAACGCAGCCTGAGAATGCACGGCAGCTCCTCCAGCCGACAGCTATCCGAGGCCGCGGCGATCACCTGCGTCAAGCTCACCAAAGCGGCTACATATGTCAGCAACACGGAATCGAAAAACGTCATCCTAATTTTGGTACAGCAACTGATGAACGATCTGATGATGCTTCTCTTTCATCCCACGAAACCATTTTCCCGTGGGCAAAATTACAACGCGCAGGACGTCGACCTGATGATCGACTCCTTCGTCAGCTGCTTCCGTATCAATCCGCATAACAACGAGGTGTTTAAGTTTTGCCTGAACGTCAACAATTCATCGACGTACCAGTTCGTCCTAGTCAGCTCGTTATACAAGCAAGTTCAAGAAAATATTTTCTTCTCGCGGCGTCGCGTCGTCAGCAAATCTGACTGATATTAATATTTCAGAATCTTCACACAGCCGAGATTGCCATGGTGGCCAGAGATCAGTCTCGTTTATTCGTACGGCACGGATCTCAGGAATATGTTCACCGACACTCTAAACAAAGTGACGCAGAACTGCATGTGGTATACACCGCTGCGTATGATTCACAATTTTGCTCTTAAAACTTCTAAAGAGGAGATGGCTAACTCTAAGAATCTGTTGCTGGTGATGGTGCGACTTATTCATGTGGATCCCATGTTAATGTTACATGTACGTAATTACATGTAAATATAATTTTAAAAAAGTATTTATATATAATATATTATTAATTTTATACAATATATGAAATTGCATAAGTTACAATTAAATACATTTGTAAAGTGTCCAAAGCCTGAATTAATTTAGCACTTTGCAGAGTTACGGTACAGCTGGCCACGAAATACAGAGATCCACTTTAGAGTTGATTAATGGGCTCGTCTCGTTAGTCCATCAGTCCACGATGCCGGACATTGCCCATGAAGCGATGGAGGCTCTGCTAGTGTTGCATCACCCGGACAAAGTTAAAGCGTGGAATCCCGAAGCGCCGTTGGACACTTTCTGGGATGTCAGTTCGCAGGTCGTTTTCTCGATCTCGCAAAAATTGATTCAGCATCAAATTTGCAACTACACGACTATACTCAAGTGGCTTCGCGAGATATTAAGCTGCAGAAATGCCTTTCTCTCTCAGTATAAGGATTATGCGAACGCGGGCAGCCAGATCGCGATTAGCAAACAGGCGCATATTAAACTCGAGGTATTTATATTTTTATCTATTGTAAAATTATATTTGAAATTAAAAATTAACCTGCGAAACTTATGCGATATGCACAGGTCGTTTGCTTAACATATTTATGGAGTATAGACATGGAAGCTGTTTTAGTATCGATGTCTTGTTTCGCGTTACTATGTGAGGAAGCTGAAATTCTTTGCGGCAGCGATGAGGTAGCGGTGACTTGTCTACTTCCGAATTATCAGTTATATTTAGAATTGGCACAAGCTTCGACCGTATTGATATCTGGTAAGTTTGATTTCTTTTACGAGATTTCACGCTCGGAACAGATAGAAAAAGATTTCTCTCTCAAACTCAAAGATTCACAAATGAATCTTTGAATTCATTTTTCTCTATTTTAATTAATAAAACTCTTATTCGTCTGTAGTAGAGTATTAAAGATCTTGTTATCGTAATAGCCCACGGGGAGAATAGATGTTATCAGGAACATAATCATGGTGAGTCCTTGTCTTCAATATTATATATTGTTTTTATATTCATATTTTGTCATGTTTCTCTTGGATAATTTATTTGCTCTATTAATATGTATGTGATGAGTTATTCTTAATGCTTGTATTTTAGGACATGCTGCATTACAAAAGAGAATATTATCTTTATTGAGAAAGATCGAACATTGCGTGAATGGCATACAACCTGTACGTATACTTTTTATCACTTTAAATGAAATATAGTATTACATAAAGTATAATAATATTAATCGTATCGTATTAAATATGCTTAATCTTGGAAATTTTTAAGAAATTAATAGAGAATGATGTGTGTTATTTAGGCTTGGGAAGAATCATTCAGAAATTGGGAAACAAACTCACGGCAATTGTCCAATTATCCCAAGACCAAGACTGAGGATGCGCAAGTCGACTCATTTCGCAACACCGTGAAACGAAGAACAGCGCTTCATCAAAATTCGGAACACGAAATGGAGGAGCAAATTAACGAGTGGGCCAATATGACAGGATTTCTTTGCGCTTTAGGCGGAGTGTGCTTGCAACGTCGTTCGCCAAGTAGACCGCCCTACTGTGGGCTCCCCTTCAATCCCGAATCTAAAAAGAGCTCGGCTAAACAACAAGAGACTAACTCCGGTTTAACGAATCCTAGTCAAGAATTGCAGTATTGCATTGTTACGCAGTTTGTGTTAAACTTGCTACGATTATTGATTTGCAACAACGAGAAACTTGGCACTCGGATACAAAAGCATGTAAAAGAACTGGTCGCACACGAGATGAGTCCTGCCTTGTATCCGATATTGTTTGATCAGATTAAGAATATTGTTGAAAAATTCTTTGATGCACATGGACAAGTGATGGTATCGGATTTGAATACGCAGTTCGTCGAACACACTATATTTATAATGAAAAATATTCTGGACTCGAAAACAGATCAACCGTCGGAATACCTTGGGATGACCAGCATCGAAGGCATGATGTTGGCGATCGTTAGATACGTCAGACATCTGGACATGGTGGTGCATTCGATTTGTATCAAAACTAAATTGTGTCAACTAGTCGAAGCTATGATGAAGAGACGGGATGATCTGGCGTTTAGGCAAGAATTGAAATTTCGCAACAAATTAGTCGAATATTTGACCGAGTGGGTGATGTGCACGCCTCCCTTTCCTTCAACAAATGCCAGCGATATTACAATTTGGACCAGGTAAAATGGCTTGTCATTTTATACGTCTATATATTATCCATCTAATCTTGCGATTATCTATTATTACGACAAATAACTTTATTCAAAATAAAAAATTATAATCAAATTTATCGCTTTAATTTTTACGCAGAAATTTGGATCAAGCTTGCATGGAGGCAGTAGGAGCGTTATTGCGCGGACTACCTCTTCAGCCTGAAGACTCTGATCGTGTCGAGTTGATGGAAGCAAAGTCTGAGTTATTCTCGAAATATTTCATGCTCTTTATGAATTTAATAAATTACTGTAACGAACCGTCATCTTCGGAGGACAAGGATGTTATGTCTTGGCAATCGCCTACTTTAGCGACCAGCAAGTTAGCTAATTTGCGCAACACTACCATTCAAGCCATGAGTAATCTTCTCAGTGCGAATATAGACAGCGGTTTAAGACACTCGATACGTACGTAAAAATATCAAATCAATTTATATGTTTTTTATTTAGGAGTTTTCTGGAGGAACAGCTCTTTTGAACATTTTTTCGAAAAACGTTCTTCTATTTTTATTTTGATTATCAATTTACTTCTTCCAGAGAAGAAAATTGATCTTTAGTTGTCATAATTATCGGCGCTAATTAGTTTTATCATGTTAAATGTTAATTTTTTTCTCATTTAGATTTAGGCTACAACGCAGATCTCCAAACGCGTGCCGCGTTCATGGAAGTACTGACTAAAATACTTCAGCAGGGAACGGAGTTTGATACCCTTGCCGAAACTGTTCTAGCGGACAGATACGAGCAATTGGTTCAACTCGTTACGATGATCAGTGATAAGGGTGAATTACCTATCGCCATGGCATTGGCTAACGTAGTGACAACGAATCAAATGGATGAGCTGGCGCGTGTCTTTGTGACACTGTTTGATGCAAAACACTTGTTGTCGCCTTTATTGTGGAACATGCTCTATCGAGAGGTTGAGTTGACCGATTGCATACAGACTCTCTTTCGCGGAAATACTCTGGGAAGTAAGATTATGTCGTTCTGCTTTAAAATTTACGGCGCCAGCTATTTGCAAGGTCTTCTCGAGCCTCTTATCAAACCTTTGTTGGATGAGCCAACAATTAGTTTCGAAGTAGATAGCGCGAGGATCGATCCCAGTGAAAATATCGAACAGAACGGTAGCAACTTGATCGCATTGACACAAAAGGTGTTTGATGCTATAGTGTCGTCGGCAGATACGTAAGTCATCATGTTAATTTATAATTTATAATCATTGCGAGTAAGATATCACTGTTGAGCTGAAAATCCTTTCGTCAGGTTTCCCCCGCAGTTACGCTCAATGTGTCACTGCCTGTATCAAGTTTTGTGTAAAAGATTTCCGCAGTCACCGCAGAGCAACATTGTGGCTGTGGGAACGGTGATATTTCTGCGTTTCATCAATCCTGCCATTGTTTCGCCCCAAGAGATGGGTATCGTAAATAAACCGGTACCACCGCAAGTGAAACGAGGTCTCATGCTTATGTCGAAGATACTGCAGAACATCGCCAATCACGTAGAGTTTAGCAAGGAACAACACATGCTGCCCTTCAACGACTTTCTGCGAGCGCACTTTGAAATCGGTCGACGATTCATCATACAAATAGCGTCGGATTGCGAAACAGTTGATCAAACCAGTCACTCTATGTCGTTCGTATCGGACGCCAATGTCTTGGCCCTACACAGGTTATTGTGGAATCATCAGGAGAAAATCGGGGATTATCTCAGCAGCAGCAGAGATCACAAAGCCGTCGGAAGGAGACCCTTTGACAAAATGGCAACGTTATTAGCATACCTTGGTCCACCCGAGCATAAACCAGTGGATTCCCAGTAAGTTGTATCGAGCAATTGTATTTTTTTCATTTGGATTATATCATTTATTGCAACTAATTTAAACCGCAGATTAATCATACGTTTCAATCCTAGCTCGCTCTTTTCGTCTTCTTACGTTCGTATGTCTCGATGGGCGAGCGAAGACATGTCGTCGACAAAATTCGAGGAAATCATGATGAAACGTAATATGCACGAGACAGAAGAATTTAAGAGCATCCAGAGTATGAATATTTTTTATCAAGCAGGCACTAGCAAGCAGAGCTACCCGGTGTTTTACTACATTGCACGTCGATTTAAGTAAGCGTTTTATTTCGCAAAGATGTAAAGATGTAAATGAGAAGTTTAACATTTATGAAAATCCCTTTTTTCTTACTCGTCACTTGTTGCGCGTTATATATATATATATATATATATATATATATATATATATGTGTGTGTGTGTGTGTGTGTGTGTGTGTGTGGGGTGATTAAAACAGGCAAATTTGGATTTTTAGGCTCGGCGAAACAAACGGCGACTTGCTGATGTATCACGTGATCCTGACTCTAAAGCCCTTTATCGGAGCCCCTAATCGTTCTTCGTACGACGTGGTCGTCGATCTCACTCATACGTGTTCGGATAATCGGTTTAGAGCAGAATTTTTGCAAAAGTGGTTCTATGTTCTGCCAGAAGCAGCTTACGAAAACTTACACGCAGTATATATTTATAATTGCAACACTTGGGTGCGCGAGTACACAAAGTATCACGATAGCATCCTGGCGCCGTTAAAAGGTAATCGAAAGATAGTCTTTATCGACAGTCAAGCAAAATTAAACGATGTCATTGACATCGAGCAACAGAAATTACCCGGAGCAACATTATCTTTGGATGAGGATTTAAAAGTATTTACTGGTGTCTTGAAATTATGCCACAAGGAGATTAAAGTGTCTGTGAAGCTCGGACCGACGACCTTGCAAATAACTCACACGGACAGATTCAAAGTATTATCGCAATATGTTCTCTTAAACGACGTGTATTACGCTTCCGAAATAGAGGAGGTTTCCCTACTGGACGACAATCAATTCACGCTAATCATCTCCAACGCGACGGGATCGTTGACCTTTGCCCACATCGATTGCGATAATATCGTACAGGCTATAATCCACATCAGGAATCGCTGGGTGTTGTCACAACCGGATTCCATGTCCGTTCATTCGAAAATCAGGCCTAAAGACGTACCCGGCACTTTGTTGAATATGGCCTTACTGAATCTCGGTAGTCCGGACCCGAATCTTCGGACTGCAGCCTACAATCATCTATGCGCACTCACGGCGACGTTCAGCTTAAGAATAGAGGGTCAACTGTTGGAAACATCCGGTATATGCATACCTTCGAACAACACTATATTCATCAAGCATTTGAGCGAGACCTTGGCAGCGAACGATCCACATCTCACTCTCGAATTTCTCAAAGAGTGCATGCAGGGCTTCAGGGAATCGACTATCGAGCTAAAACATTTATGTCTCGAATATATGACGCCGTGGTTGAGCAACCTCGTGCGATTTTACCCTGATAAGTCCCACGACGAGAGTAGCAAGCGGCAGAAGCAGGTTATGGAAATTCTTGACGATTTAATCACGCTGACTGTCCAGGAGATTGAAATGTATCCGAGCATACAGGCCAAGATCTGGAGCACAATTGGCATGCTGCCGGAACTGATAGACGTTGTCCTCGACATTTTTCTGCAACGTAGCGCGCGATACGATTTAGGCTCACCAGTGGCCGAGATCATGGCAGACACTGCGGTCGCTCTGGCGTCTGGTAATGTGCAATTGGTGGCCAAGAAATTAATCAGCAAGGTATGCCGAATAGTGGACAAGACTTGCATGTCACCGACGTCTCAATTGGAACAACATATAATGTGGAGCGACATAGCGATCCTCGCGAGGTATCTCCTGATGCTGTCCTTTAATAATTGCCTGGATGTAGGGAAACATTTGCCGTACATCTTTCACACGGTGACGTTGCTCGTGTGCTCCGGCAGCTTGACCATGCGAGCGTCCACTCATGGTCTGGTGATCAACAGTATTCACTCGTTATGCACGTGTAGTTCTCCCTCTTTCTCCGAAGATACGCACAGGATACTGCGGATGAGTCTGGATGAGTTCTCGTTACCCAAGTTTTATCTGTTGTTTGGTATCAACAAGGTGAAATCTGCCGCTGGCACGGCCTTTTACAAACATCCAAAATCCAGCTGCAAGCACGCGAATGAAAAATGGCTCAACAATGAGCGAAATGTAACCGGGACGCAGGACAAGGAGAGGCTCTACCTGACCAGCTTGGAAGTAATAACCGACGCTCTTCTGGAAATTATGGAGGCTTGTATGCGGGACATTCCCAAGTGCGACTGGTTAAAAACGTGGACTCTGTTGGCGAAAAACTTTGCCTTCTGCTTCAATCCGGCTCTGCAGCCGAGGGCGCTTATTGTTTTCGGTTGTATCAGCAAGAGTATAACGGATCAGGATATGTGGCAGCTACTGAAGATTCTAGTGAAGGCGCTCGAGAGTTTTAACGATATTAATCTCATGGAGGCCATCGTTATGTGCTTGACGCGATTGCAACCTCTTTTGAGACCTGTAAGTTTCCATTTAACAAAAAAAGTGTACAAGCTATTTAACTTGAAATATTCTGTTTTTCCAAGAAATCACCACTACATAGATACCTGTTCTGGATCGCCACATCCGTTCTTGAGTTGGACGAAGCGTCGTTGTATGCATCCGGCCTGGCCCTTCTCGAGCAGAATTTGCACACACTCGACTCGCAGGGAACTTTCGATGAGAAGGTCTCGATTTTTTCTCAATATTTCTCAATACTTAATTTTGTAATATCTTTTGATACTGTAAAATCATGCTCGTCTCTACTCTTTTCAGACATTAGAACACGTGATGATGTCGACACGCGAACCCCTGGAATGTCAGTTCAAGCTACTGGATCACACTGTGGGCCTATCCTTTAAATCCAATTTTCATTTCGCGCTGGTCGGTCATCTTTTGAAGGGCTACAGGCATCCCACGCCGACAACGGTTACCAGAACGGTCAGGGTGCTGACCATGTTGCTGGCGATCATCGCGAAGCCCTCGAAGAGGGATAAATTCGAGGTGACGCCTGAGAGCGTTCCTTACTTGACCGGTACGTTCAAGTAGAAATGCACGTAATAAAATCATTATCGAAATTAAGAAAAAAATCTACGTAACGTTCATTTTGCAGCACTGGTAGCCGTGTCAGAGGAGGTGCGTAGCAGGTGTCATATTCGGCATTCGCTCGATAAAAACCTACACGATTCATCGGGCAGTTCGGACATTCTCGATACTTTGCCGTCGCGCAGTGCGGTGAGAATATTTTTTGATTATTTCATGTTATAATAGATTATAACGTGACATTGTTTTAATGAAACCATTCGGGTGTTCGATGTAGGATATGTCGGGAGCGCCCAATCTTACAAGTAGAAGACAAAAGACCTGGGACTTGCTGGATCAATCGGCTCTTACTCAAGCGAGACAACAAAAACAACAATCCGCGCAGGTATAAATTTTATTTAGTTATATATGTGTGTTATCTTTTCGCGAATCAACTTATCCCTTTTCGAGCTATGATCCTAGCGACGCGTAGTCAACTTGTTCGTTTGAAATATCGTAGGGATTTGCCACGTTTAAAAAATATTTTAATTTTTTTTTATGTAGAACATAACGCCATTCTCGCTCGCACACACAATTGTTATTCACTTAGGAAATGAAAAAAAGAAAGGTGTCGAAGCATGAAGTTTCTGAAAAAATGCACTGCATGATTCTATAATTGAAAGAATGCGATGAGATCGCACGAAATGAAATTCAAAATCCCTTTTCACGCGTGATGATTTGTATGCAACGAAATTGTATCGCTTCAATTATCCTCGCTCTGCTTACCCTATTATACTTGATTGTTCGGTAAAATTATTTCACTTTTACCGAGAGGAGTATCGCTCTGTCCCCACTACTTGAGACCTTGTGTGTGTGCGCGTGTGTGTATGCACTATTTCTAAAACTATAGTGAAATGTATCTATGTATCTGTCTCGGATCCTATTCTATATCTCTCTTTTGGGTATGTATTCGATTTGATTTACTATGCTCAATGTAGAATTATTCACATTTGAGTTTTATTTTTAAAAAAAGAAATTTTCTTCGCACATGAGAAAGAGAGACGCCCTTTCGCAAGCTTTTTTTAGTACGAATTGAACGAAAATTTCCCACGATCGTTTCGTCTTATCTTTTGCCATATATATGTATACAGGGTATCTCGTATCTAGCGAATCATTGATGTATAGTTAGATTCCTGACGTCATTTGAAAAAAATTTTTTCCTCAGCGAAAGTGTCGAGGGAGGAACATCATTTTTGCATGTTCCTAATTTTTGCCATCAAGCTTTAAATTAAAATTCTATTAAAGTAAACTCTATCTGAAATTAACTAAAGAATGTGGGTAATATTTTGTTTCCATAAGATTTAGTTTGTGAAAATTTATTTTTAATTACTTATATAATTTGAAAATTATTGATGCCTCGACATTTTCGCTGAGGAAAAATTATCTCCAAATGACGTCGGAAATCTACTGTAAATCAATGATTTAGTGGATATAGAACACTCTGTATATACACTTTTCGATCCCCTTTTAATTAACTATTAGTAGATGCATAGCGTTGTATATAACACCATTTTATTCCTCCATGCATCTCTCTGTTTACTCTCTCGGTGTGTGCCCGCCTGTGCCTGCCCGGATTGTGTAAAACACGATGCAACTTGTGTCACTAACAAGACTGGCCGGCTTTTATTTAAATCGCAGCGATCCTTGAGCGTACCGAACGCAAAGGACGACAAGTCGACGGACGATGCGGAACAGCAGGTATATATTGTTACTTCGACCACGATTCTCTTGTATCTCTCTTTCTCTCTCACTCTTTATTGTCGATTCTATAAACATATATCCAGACGCGGTTACTGCACTTCTATTTTTAATCATTCCTGTTGAGAGACAGATGAAAAATATTCCGTGACTGTGATATACTCTTATTGACTCTTCATTCCCGTTATACATACATAGACGAGATGTAAAATGAAGGAACTAATGTGTATTCGTACTTGTACTGATATACAGAAAGATCGTGCAAGCACTAGAGTGAGCCTGAGCAACGAAAATAACGTCTTACTCGATCCGGACGTATTGACCGATTTTTCGACGCAGACTCTGGTTCTGACTATGCTGGCCACTCTGGTAAAGTACTCCACCAGCGAGAATGAAACGCGGATCTTGTACGAGTATCTAACGGAGGCAACTATAGTTTTTCCAAAAGTTTTTCCAGTTGTGTAAGTTTTTTTTCTTTTTATTTCTCTAATAATAATAATACGAAAAGTTTGATGTATCGAGAGGAGAATATCCCATTTCGGAGTTTCTGTATTGAATGTATATCTCTTTGCAGACACAACTTGCTCGATGCAAAGATCAACAGCGTATTATCCTCCTGTCACGACCAAGCGATATTGAACGCGGTTCAGACCATCATACAGAACATGATAGCCAGCGAAGATACGAGTCAGCAGCATCATCTGCAGCATTATTTGCAAAGTTGCGGTTTCCGTGGTCTTTGGAGATTCGCGGGACCTTACACGAACGTAAGCCTCGGAATTAAATTTCCTAATTTTCCGATTTGATAGCAATTTATACCTTAGAACTGCTTATGTAAACTTAGAGAGTCAGGGTTTTTAACAATCGTCAATGTGTTTACAGTCCAGCTGTACGCCCGAGAGTGCTGAATTGTTTGTGAATTGTTTGGCGGCGATGGTAGAGATGTGTCTAACGGTACCGAATAAAGAAACAGGTGTGGGAAAAGGTAAACGTCAGTCGGATTCTGCGTTGAGATCAAGACCGTCTAACGTCGTACTCGTCCAAGAACACTGTCGTACGTCATCGGAGATTGATACTTCTTTCGTTCACGTAGAGTAAGTATCACATTTTACTCCCGTAGCGTTTGCACCCTTGCTTTTCTTCGTAAATTACGTCGCACGTGTAAACCATATATCAAACAAGTAATACGTATAATGTTCTAGTCGTAGTACGGATAGCAGACGATATGACTCGATGGATGCTAGTCAAACGGAGGATACGGGTGACGGTTCGCAGCCTTAGCAATTACTTTACGATAGACAACGCAAACAATGCCAGAAAGATGCGCATAAGAGGCAAAGTGATGGAAAATTGCAACGGCAAACAAGGTATGTGAATTTTAAATAATTAAATGATAAGTATATAATTTTAAATGTACACAACTTGAGAGAGAATCGAAGAATCTCCAGAAGAAGAAATTATTACTTTTTCGCTCTTTCTATTAAAGCTCCTGGATCTTCGTCACTTGTTAGATGGCGACGTCAGAGGTGTACGCTGAAAATTCTTAAATATCATTTTTAAACACTATTTTAGCTGGCTTTAACATGCTTTTTAAAATACCTTGAAAAGTATTATTTCTAAGAATTTTTAGCGTGTTTTTCCCTTCTCTGACGTCACAATTCCAACTTGGCGAGGAGCCAAGAGGGCCTTAAGTATTAATAAGGTCATACTATCGCGAAATGAACCTGATCCGCTAAATATTTCGTAGAACCTCGCAGACGTTCATCCTGTACTGTATGCCCAGTCAGTTTAGTACAATGCCGTCCAATCACGATAACGAGCCTACCGGAAATGGAAATCAACGAAAGCTACACCGTTGTATAATATTTTCTTTTACTGTCTTTCTCTATTGGTAACTTTGCGATATTTTCTTTATCAATACACCAGTCGTCGCGAGTTTACTATCTCTGGTATATCTCGCTACGATTCTTAAATATGCATTGTTGCATTATATGTTGTCAACGCTTTTACAACGAAGTTGTACGGAAACTCGCGTTGCGAGATATTGTACATCGTCAGACTCGATTTCAGCGATTCAAGATATGTAGCGTTTAACGTTTTGTGATTTAGCAATCGTGTTCATCGTCGCATCTCATATATGATATTGTTTGTTCATATCGCAAGAAATAATTTACAGTCGATTTCCTCGGAAAAAATTCATCGAATCAGCAACGAGCATTGTATACGTTCGATATGTTGTCAGCAATTTCGTGTATAATAATAATTTATTGACTGATATTAATTCTCTGCCATAAGTCGCAATACAATGCATACACAAAACTATCAAAACTAGTTCCGTAGACAACCAACTATGAGAAGTAGATTAATAAGATAAGAGCATCGTTTTTTTTCTTGTTTTATTATATATACTATACGTATAATTTTTTTTGTACATGCAAAGCGTTATCATCTGTCGCAATTTGTGTTCGAAGTAATTAGCTCTAGAGAGTTATAAACAATTATTATTATTCTACTTACCAAAAGAATCTCTGTTGGTCCCTTAAAGTCTGAAAGCGCTGCGGTTGCGCGAGGCAACTTTTTATTATTACGCAAGAAACGTAGCTTTCTTCTCGTGTGCCGTTGCATGTAGATCTCAATGATATAACAAGGATGATCTGGACCAGTGACGCCTCTCGTCTCGTTAGGCGTTCGAAGCCCCGGGACGAATAATTTTAGAGTCCTACCAAGAGAAACACCAATGTAACTGTATACTGTCTTTACCACTTTTTATTAAAGTACAAAGCGAGACCAAGCGATATCCTCTCTGTACTATAATATACGGACATTTTAGTAATAAGAAGAGAAGGGGGAGAGAGAAAGAGAGAAAATATATATGTATACGCATAACGACGTATATAATTACTAGAGTGTACACTTGTGTGCTAACAACAATGAGGAGCACCGAGTGAGAAAGGTGTTAAAATACTATTCTCTCCCCCTGGACTAGTTTGCGTCGTGAAAAATACTCGTTCTTTTTTTTTATTTAAACATTTTCTTTATTTATTTAAATGTAAAATTTCTTTGTGAACGCCATAAGCGAATGTGTGCGATTTATGTATAAATAATGAAATATTATACATAAGATTAAACGCGCGAATTTAACAATGTAAATGATATTTTTCGTGTGATGGAATGAATAGCTTCTCAATGGCGCTAGAATGACTGTTTGGAGTTTGAAAGATGCGTTTGTACATAGTGCGTTGTATAATGTTTGTACGTATATTCTGGTAATTTTGTAAAAGTCTGTTGATTTTTGTCCGTCTGTATTTTTACAAGAGGCAGAGAGTACGGATAATGAATACGGTGCGTCGTATAGATCGAGCATAGATTTCAGAATTGATTTCCACATAGAGCTTCGCATCCGAGCTTGTACTTAAACGCTCGATTAATATTTGTATTCTCAAGTCGTTAATTTCCATAGACATGGGAAGGATAGACTATTCAGTTTATAATGTAACCGTTTGAACGAAAAGAAGCTACTTAACGAAGCTCGCCATTTTTTCTAATAGAAATAGGTTTGTCCCTTTTTACTTATTCTCATTTACAAGCAGTCTATACCTCCTATATCTATGTTAATTCCTTACACGAGCTTTGATTTTTTTTATTCAACATATAGAATGTGCGCTAGTCATAATATAATATATATATATTATATATATATATATATCTATATATATATATATAAATATATATATGTCGGACAGTGAGCTCGAAATAATTTTTTACAACGTTTCTTATATATATAGTGTTTATAGCGGTTTTTCTTTTTACGAAAAACTTAGCAGGCAACCACCCCATGACACAGTACAGCTGATTTAAAAATTAGCAATTATCCAGTATTGAAGATAATGATTCGTTGATAATTTTATTCGCGCGCAGTACGGAATTGTTAAGCGCTAGCTGTCCGTAGCTGTCGTGTGTTATCGCGCGTCTTGTTGTCTCTTACCAAAGGTATAAATCGTCCCTAGACTGCGTTAGGCAGGCGATTAAATTAAGTAACGATTACATACACAATTAAGGAAGACAGGCCGTTTAATTGCTTAATGTCCACGCGCGTCATACATATATTATCGAATTTTTCATCGACACGGCATGTTTTCCTTTCGGATCTCGTGTGTTTTCGCGATATTCGTATTTCTAGAACGCGTATGTGTATGTGTGTCATCACGATGGAATTTGTATATATACTAAAAATTGTAGCGTGTAAAGACCGAGGAACGCAAAACGAGTCGTCGGACCGGCGAGTACTCGCCTTTGAAAGAAGAGAGAAAAACGCAGTTCCTCTCTCTACGTATTTCCTGCTGCCATTCCACGAGTCGAGAATTTACAATCCTGCAACATTAACATCTTAGCAGCGATAATTCGATTATTCCTATATAAACTTTCTATCAAAAAAAAAAAGAAAAGTATACATGTATACGCAGAGTACGCGCGCGTCCGACGAGCGAGTAAAAAGAGTATGCGTGTATATATATATGTATTGTAAGTACATAAGAGATGTCTATTTAGCGAATCGTGATTACGCATTACGATGAGATATAGTTGAATGTACGATAGCTCCGCGGATATTCGATTCGCACGAAGAATTGGCGTTATAAAAATTATTTTTCTCTTGATCGAATCTCCCTAACGACGTGATTATCTGGCCTTTCTACGAATACTACGATGAGACAATTTTTTGTGTAAATATATCCACGAGATTAAAACGCTGTTTGTTAAACTACTATAAATGTCGGCATTTATTTAATGTTTCGTCTGGAATACTCAAGGGTTTCTTTTCTGTCACTTTCTCGAGATAATTAATGTCCTTCCTTACCCAGATAGCCACAGTAATTATTATGACATCATTTTGATGGCAAATGATGCATTTTGAGTGGGTATAGAATCAAACATGTTTTATTACAATCTTTTTACATGTTGCAAGTTTATCTATTATTCAGAGTGAAGTTAAAGTTCTATTCAGCTCAACAATATTATTTAACAAGGAAGGATTAATTTACTACAGTATTATATTTTGCTTATTAATATTGTAATAAAAACCGAAGTAGTGAAAGTAGTCGTTTTTATGTAATTCGATGTCAAAATATGATTACTTTTATTATTTGGAAAAGTGTATTAAATTTTATATTTACATCGAAATATAGAAAAATACGACAAACAATCAACCAAAACGATAAACAGTTCAAATATATATCAAATTAACTTTTTTTAATTCAACTATGCATGAGTTTAAAGTGTTTTTTAAACAGGCTCTGCACAACTAGAGAACGTATTAGAAAAATATTAAAGAAACAAGAATGATTTTAAAATAATAAAATCGAAGACTTATATTAAAATACAAATTCGATATATAGGACTAATAACTTTATACCAAATTTGTATATCAGAATTTTTTCGATTTTATTATTTTGAAACAAACTATATTCCTATTATAATATTTAATATTTATTCCTCTATTGTGCGCAGGGCCTTAATCTTCAGTAGTGTTCTTACAATATAAATCTGAAATCTTGTATATTATGTAGGTTACAAAAAAAATGTCCGAAATACCTTGGTATGCGTTTTAAAAAACAAAATAAAATACGCGGGAAATTGACGGCGTGCCATGATTCAAACTGAGAGCAAAACAACGCTGTTGTGTTCAGAAATTTCCTCGTGGAGTTGACATATTGTTCGTCCTGATTGGTCAACCGAACGTTACCCACTTTCGACGAGTAGATTTCCGAACGCAACCGAACGAGAAGCTAACTCGCTATTGGTTCGAATCGATGAATCGCAGTGCGCATGACAAACATATGTTCTTCCGTTTCGCGCCTAAAATTGTCGTTGCTCCAAGAAACTTGGCAAAGTTCGCTTGTGTCTCATCCGCGACTGATGCACGATGGAATTAAACAAGAAATTCAACACGCTTTCTCTGGAAAGTAATGATCATTCTCCCGTAAAAATGCCAGCCAAGGAAGCTGCGCGAGGGAAGATGCATGTTATCAAGCGAAGTAAGTAATGAATTAATCATTTAAATACGTTCTATTGTTGTCTAGATGAAGCTGAGTCAGAAAGCATTATTTATAAACTATGTCTATATGTGTGTGTGTATGTGTGAAGATATATATTTTATATATGTAAAAAAGTTGTATTGCATTCTTACGAATAATATTAATTTTATTAGTTATGTAACATATATATATTGTTGAGATACTACTATATATTTATATATAATTTGTATGTGTGGAGAATAGATTTATAATAAATTTTAAAAGATTAATAATTTGATCAAAATTAAACACTGCATTACTGAATTAATTAATATTAATATTGTGTGTATATTTATATGTACATATATAAATGTGTATCTTCATGCAACTATACATTTTTATCAAAGATGTTTAAATAAGAAACATGTAACAATAATTAACAATTATTATTTCCATTAGATGGTCGTAAGGAGGATGTTCATTTTGACAAAATCACTTCAAGAATTGCCAAACAGTGTTATAATTTGGATATGAATTATGTGGATCCAGTAAGTATATATAGTGTATTTATCACATAATTTTATAATATAATTATATGAAATAGAAAAGTGCCATGTATATGTTGTTTATATAAGTATAATTTAGAAGAGATACATCAACTTCTATATCTTTTTAATATTGCATGTATAAAAGAGCGAGAGAATACAATTTTATAAATTTCCAACAATATAAATTTCTATATAAGTGAATTTATTATTTACAGTCTGCTGTTGCCATACAAGTAATACGTGGTTTATATTCTGGAGTAACTACAGTCATATTAGATAATCTTGCGGCTGAAACTGCAGCTACTATGGCAACTAATCATCCCGACTATGCTATATTAGCTGCAAGGATTGATGTATCTAACCTACATAAGGAGACTAAGAAGACCTTTAGTGGTATGATATATTGGATTTTATTCATTTTTGCATCCTTATTTAATTAAATGATGTAATGCCTGTTTTGTTTTATTTTTGAAGAGGTCATGCATGACTTGTACTATGCCAAGGATCCTGTCACAAATCATCGTACCCCTATAATCAGTGAACATTATTATAACATTATTAAGAACAATGCAGAAAGACTAGATTCTGCTATAATATACGACCGAGATTTCAGTTACAATTATATTGGTTTTAAGACACTTGAGAGAAGCTATCTGCTGAAAATCAATGGCAAAATAGTAGAAAGACCTCAACACATGTTGATGAGAGTAGCTGTTGGTATTCATGAAAACGACATTGACAGAGTTATAGAAACATACAACTATTTGTCTGAACGATATTTTACACATGCTTCCCCAACATTATTTAATGCCTGCACTAATAACCAGCAGATGTCTAGGTAATTATAATAACATTTAATATCTTGGTAATATTCAATGTTGTAAAATTATTTTAATCGGAATTATTTTCTGACAGCTGCTTTCTTTTGACGCTCGACAATGATAGCATAGAAGGTATTTACAACACGCTGAAGAAATGTGCGCTCATCAGCAAATATGCTGGTGGAATAGGACTCAACGTACATTGCATTCGTTCACAAAGCACAGAGGATAATACGGATACAACCAATGGCTTGGTTTCTGTCCTAAAATTATACAATGACATGGCTATTTATGTTGATCAAGGTGGAAATAAGAGACCAGGAGCGTTTGCTATTTATTTAGAGCCATGGCATGCTGATATCTTTGATTTTTTAGAGCTTAAGAGGAACATTGGTAATTGTTTTTTCCCTTTATTATTTTTTGTATTTTTTTTTCACATTGACTAATGTTGATTTATAACATAATGTATATATTGTGTTTTTTTTCTTACAGGGGATGGAAACATGCGAGCTAGAGACTTGTTCTATGCTTTATGGATACCAGATCTTTTTATGGAACGTGTATATAATGATGAAACCTGGAGCTTGATGTGTCCACATGAATCTCCTGGCTTAGCTGATGTTTGGGGTGATGAATTTAAAGAGCTGTATACTAGGTACAGACATGTTAACAGTAATCTTCTGTTTTTATTAATAATTTAATAAAATAATTTATATATGATTAATATATCTTTCTGCAATAAAGTATGTAAATAAATTTACATAACAAAATGTTTGTATAGATACGAAAAGGAAGGTCGCTATAAGAAGCAAGTAGAGGCCAGAGCTGTGTGGATTGCCATTCTCAGATCACAAGTAGAAACTGGAACTCCTTATATGCTTTACAAGGATCATTGCAATCGAAAATCTAATCATCAGCATATTGGTACAATCAAATGCAGCAACTTGTGTACCGAAGTTGTTCAATATTCCGGCCCTGGGGAAGTTGCCGTGTGCAATCTAGCATCCATTGCTGTCAATATGTTTGTTAATACGAATAACAAGACTTTTGATTTTGATAAACTTAAAACAGTTGCAAAAATCGTCACTCGTAATTTGGATAAAGTCATCGATGTCAATTTTTACCCCATTGTGGAAACAAAAACTTCTAATCAAAAACATAGACCTATTGGTGAGATTATGACCCTTTAAATTTCATCGATTGATTATATCATAATGAATTAGAAATGTAAAGAATACGTGTGTCATCAGGTATCGGAATACAAGGTTTAGCGGATGCCTTTCTGTTAATGCGATATCCGTTTGAAAGCAAAGAGGCCAAGGAACTCAACATCAAAATCTTTGAAACTCTTTATTATGGTGCCTTGGAAGCGAGTTGTGAGCTGGCTGCGGAAAAAGGTACTTACGAAACGTATGAAGGTAGTCCAGTCAGCAAAGGTGTAAGTAATTTTATATTATTTTAATTGCGCTTATACATATATTTATAATTGCAAATCATATTTGGTCTATGTATTTACAATCATAACGTAACATTGTTTCTCATCAGATCCTTCAGTATGATATGTGGGACGTTAAGCCGACAGATTTATGGAATTGGGATAAATTGAAGGAGGAAATCGCAAAGCATGGAGTAAGAAATTCGCTTTTGATTGCACCTATGCCAACTGCGTCGACTGCACAAATCTTAGGGAATAACGAATCCATCGAAGCGTATACCAGTAATATATATGTAAGACGCGTATTATCGGGGGAATTTGTCATCGTCAATCCTCATTTATTGCGAGACTTAACATCCAGAGGTTTATGGGACAAAGACATGCAGAACGAGATACTCGCGAACTTTGGATCTGTTCAAGTACGATTTTAATTATTTCTTATTATTGTTTTCTGCATTTAGATTGTTTTTTAGTGAATAATTTTAAGGAGATATGTTTTACAGAATATTGAACGTATTCCTGATGATCTAAAAGTTTTATACAAGACTGTATGGGAAATATCGCAAAAAGTAATTCTTGAAATGGCAGCCGACCGAGGAGCTTTTATCGATCAGTCGCAATCTCTGAATGTACATATAGGAGATCCAACGACTGAAAAACTTACATCGATGCACTTCTTTGGTTGGAAAAGCGTAAGTAACATTGTAATTACTGTAGTGTTGTCTCGACATCTTTAAAAACACATTTATTGCCATAGATTGCTCGAATAGATGATTATTTTTCCTAAATTATATAAATAATTCTTTTAATTTTTAATTAAACAAAATAAGTATCATACACGCTATTAAATATATTATCATTTACAGGGTTTAAAGACTGGCATGTACTATCTGCGAACAAAGCCAGCTGCAAATCCCATACAATTCACAGTGGACAAATCTAAATTACGGAATAATGATTCCATATCTAATTCGTCCACTACCAATAACACCCCAGTTCAGTCTCCCATCAAAATAACGACAATAGTGATGACAATATTGAAAGAAAAAATCAATTAAGTCAACAAGCAAGTCAAAATTTAGAAGCGATGCTTGTTTGTTCACGTAAAAATGGAGAGGGTTGCACGTCTTGTAGTTCGTGATTATTTTCTTTTCTTGAACATTCTCTCATATCAGAAAATTGTAAAACGTTTTCTAACTTTGTAAACTACTTTGTAAATTACATTACAAACATATTTTTATACATGTTATATATTCTAAATTATATCTTTAATAAGATGTTTTTTTGATAAATATGGCGCGCGAATCAATAAATTAAATTGGTTTAATAATTTACGAGAGAGAGAGACAGAGAGTTTAGGCGAATTTAAATTACATTAAGTTTTCTATACACACGCATATTTTTCACTTTTCCAGAATAAATATTTTACACTTCTAGAATAAATATTAAGCTTATTGTAAGATAATGTCTTGAAAAATATGAATAAGATTTGAATATTTTCATGTATGTGAAAAAACTTATTTTTTTACAACATAAAAAAGAGCTACAGTATATATTGATGAAATTAGTACTACAAAATTATTAATTGTATAAAGAATTATTTTAAAATGATAAAATCGAAAAGGCTTTTAGTATATATATATATAGTCTATTAGCCCTTACTAGTCTCAAAGCTAAATTTGTACTTTTATATCAAAAAGCTTTTTCAATTTTATCATTTTAAAATAATTCTTATTTCTAATATTTAATATTCATTTTGAATATTTTCTGTGTTGTCGCAGGACTTAATTGTTATATGAACCGACATAAGAAATTGTTATTTCTGTCAAGTGATGCATGAATAAAACGTCTCGCCTCGCGAATGACCGGCCGTCACCCGTCAGTAGACCGAACGACGTATCGAATGTCACTAGCTAGGAACACGTGGCGTCACTGCGATCGCCGTGGAGGTTACGGAGACGACGCAGAACCATATTTATTTTGGTTTGGAAATTAGTCCGCAAGTAAGAGACCCGTGTGCGTGCATCGTTCGGCCGTGCGTTTCGCACCAATTCGGCTGATTGAATCCCCAAGTACTTGCTTATCGGAGATCAAGAACTGAAAAACATGACCCGTAAGTTCGACCGAACGTAGCTGTCAAATCATTTCTGTGCCGCGATAATTCGACGTAAAAGAATGACCAAACGAGTTCGTAACTTTCGCGGCTGCCATTGTCATTAATGTTAATAACAGACTCATCTCGAAAGAGGGAAAGAGGAAAAAAAGTGAAATTGTGAGATTTGTCGCGAAATTTTTGGAGCAGAAGCGTTTACAAATTTCCGGGAAGAAGATTCGTTTTCAAGAATATTTCGAGAAGAAACGTCAATGTTTTTCGACACGATAGCGATAAGAAAAAATGTTTTTGAGCATTTTTTACGAGCATTTATTTATCCAAATCTCGGTGATTTTGCGGATCGAGAATTTGCAATCTGGAAAGCAGGAGAGGAAAGGGAGCGTCGAACGTGATAATAATAGCAATAGTAATTTAATCGGAGTAGCTTATTTACTTCTTTCGGGTACAGGATCGATTTACTCTTCTGGAATGTTAACACTTTTAACCTCCGTGCACGCTGCGACGTGTTACGATAAATTCGCGTTCACAGCGAATGCATGCAGCGAAAACGATCTATTTTTAGTGTACAGGGAGATGTGCGACATATGATTTTAACACTGTCGAACTCCGAATATACGAAAGTAAATATGGTGGAAGGTATGCTCCATGGCTCAGTTCACTTCACTATTTTATTCGCCGCCATTTTGTATCTGCAAGTAGGAATCTGCTATTTGGATATAAAGAAATGAGATAAAAAATTGTTGAAAAATCGCGAGTAATTTAATTCGTCGGTCGCGTGGATCGATTCGCTTCGTATGCATTCGGCTGTTGCCCTTTAATAAATTTTGGAGTAATCTACGAGCTTGTTTTGCGTGTTTGCCCCACCATTCTACTAATTCGGTCGAAGGAATGTGATCTGTACGCATGCGCGCGTTCAAAGAAGTGGTACCCTTGTTTAGGCACCGTATTCGAATTGAATGATTTATCATGAGTAACAGATTGAAAATTTAAATCGAATTGAAGAGAAAAAAGCAAAATATTGAGAGAAAATCGAACGAGGAAAATTAAATTGAATATAAACTAAATAAAATGTTAAATGTGACATTTCTCAAAAGGATTAATATTTGTTTGTTATGTCGTAGGTGGAAATCAACGTGAACTAGCACGAGCCAAAAACTTGAAAAAAACGCAAAAGAAGGCAGCGTCTGAACAGGACAGCAATAAAGGTCTTTCCTTGGAGCAGCGTAAAGCACGGTAAATATTCGAAGCTTATAAATGTGTATTCTTTCGCCCATAATTTTTTATAATACTTGTATCGTAATGTATATATTTTTACTTACAGTGACGCGGAACGAATGAGAGAGAAACAACTTAATAAGAAGCAGGAACCAGATAAGTCTAAGCAGGCAGCGAGGTAATTCAAAGGAAAGAGTGTACAAACTTTTACGATAAAATCGATTATATCACACGCAATGATTATGTTAAAAAGATTCACGGATGTAAGGGACACAAAGGTTGCTTACCGAAAATGCAAAAAGGAATCGTCATGTTTTTGATGTTAAAGAATTTTTCCATTGTCGGCCGTATAATACAGCTACATCGGTTGTATGACATACCACAGGACCTAGCCTCGATTATCTTGTTATTTATACATTGCTCATAAAAAAACCAGTTAATATATAGCCGGTGTGTATAAAACTCGACGTTACCTAACACTAAATTCAGTCAAAGAATAATGCGCGTTTGACTGGTTTCTTAGGTATAAGGATATTAATTAAATAATACGACATTTGTAGTACTAATTTTCCTAATCTGTAAATTCAAATTTTCTCATATACTTATTTAATATGTTATCCCATTAAATGTGTAAGAAACAAGCGGTTACTGGATACATATATGCTGGCCGTCGTATACGCTCCTCTTCGCTCGTAATAAACTGTTCAAAGTTCAACAGTAAACGGGTTTAATTTTTAAATTTCCATCCCTAGTAGGATAAACATATTTTTCGTACAATGTTACACCACGAATGACTAGAGATATTAGGAATATAAGTAAAAGATAGAAGAACATATAGAGATTGTACAATTATTTCCCATATTTTTATTGCACTTTCCCAAAAAGAGTACACTTTCTTAACGTACTAATTTTAATCGCGAATTTTTTCACAACTTCGCTTTAATTACAAATATTCGTGATTATTAACATTGAGTCGAATGTGAAAATGATGTGATTCGATAAATGTCACTGCAGGTGGAAGACCGAATCTTAATCGCTAACAATGTGTGGGAAAAGAAAAGAGAATGTATATACGCTATATTAAATGACGAACGTATTGTCTAGCCTCTAAAGACCGAAACCCTCGCGAGAGTGTAGCATACTCAGCGTAAAGCTGCCGAAATTCAATTCTTTCATTCCAGATAGATTAGATTAATTGCGTATTTCGGATTTGCTAGGCTGTATTTCCACGTTTCTAACACATCTATAAGCAGGAACGTTTCGCTCGTATTTTTTTTTCTTTTCTTTTTTTTTTTCATTTGACTCTTCAAGTCTATAGTATGCAAGGAATAACGCGGTATATATTGAGCATTTACTTTTTAATTATAATGATACGCTACTAATATGTGATAGTCTATTGGTGAAGAGAATTTACATGTGATATTTTTCTTTTTAATATTACATACGTGACATCGGGAATTCGTTCAACGTAAGAAATTGTCTCTCGGAATGTATATCCGGATAGTGAATAATACACACGTGCGCTTGGCTATATCGTTAAAAAATATATATATAAAATAGACGTGTGATTTTGCCGATTTCTCTTTCTATTCACACTTAACTTTACAATTTATTTCGCATGTTTTTATTAATTCAGAATAATAATTTTTTTTTTTTTTTTTTTAGTAAAACGTAAAATATTTCTATTAAAAAAATACTTTCGTGTCATAAAATGTACTTTTGTCAATTTGTCACAATGATCGAATTCGAGTAAAACGTTCGAGGTCTGTTTCTATTAAAACTTTAATTGATTTCGATATAAAATTCAACTAACTTATTAAACTCGCCATCACACTTGAACTGAGTTTCGATCAAGCCTTCGAATAGTGTCTCGAGCTCTCAATGATAAAGTACAATTATCTAGAAATGGGCGGCAGAATGTTATTTCCCTCGTCAACCTGTTCATTAGTCTTTACAAATGTTCCGTATACACATGTAATTTTTTTTTATAATAATATCGCAATCAATATGTTATCGTATAAATATATTTACTTATATCTATTTCGATGATGCAACGTTTCTTGCACGCGGAAAGATGTGACGGAAATGCGGTATTTTCAGAAAAATTGGTTAAAAAGATTATGTTTGAAACTGTAGGGAAATGTCGATCGAACTTATCTACTGTGTGTGCATGTATTGCCACTTATCATTACAATACTATATTCGTAACAATAGCACCATATTTTGTATTGTTCATAGATAAATTATGTATTGAACAAATGGAACAAATTCATGGTAATGCGTTGCATGCGTATAAATGCGTGCGTTTTAAAAAAATGATACAAAATCAATGCTAAAAAATTACAAATTGATGACAAGAAAACTTTTCTTTTCGTCATAACAAATAATTTTTTAATCAAATTACGGCAGATGCTTTGTACTTTAGAATCATTTTTTGTTTAATATGAAATAGCTTCGGCACAAGGTATTTATATTTTATTAATTATCTCTTTTCAATTTTATATATATATATAAAAATCCTGAAAATTTTATATATATATATAAAATTTTGAAAATTTATTAGAGTTTATATAAGCTACATAATATAATACGAGAATTTTTTATATTGAAAGAATCGAATACTATTTAAAATACTATTAAAAAGTCAACTTATAATTTGTATGCATATGATAAACTTAAATTTAAAATCTGAGAAATCAAATGTTTCCTCTTTTTTCCTTGCTTTTCAAAATTATTAAATATAATACTTTCAAAAGTTTTTAAAAAGTGAGCTTTTAAATACTTGAAAGTTTCACGGTATTTTTATTGCAAATCGTGCCTGTATAACGCAAAATACATTCACACAAAGTGCATTTCCTGCTTTCTACGAATTTCAAATATATATCTTACAAGTAAATCCAATAGAATCGTCGTTTATCGAAACTAACAAACAACTACATCACAATACTTGGAAAATTTTATAGTGAAAGTCTTATCGCACACACATGAGTGTAGCAAAGTCGCTTACATACCAATCTATATGTATGTCATATATGCCTATAAACAATGTATCGTACTAATATTCAAAAGTGATGAGTCGGAAATAAGAGACGTGATATATATCTCTCTTTTGTTTTCCATCTAAATAGCAGTACATGTGGAATGTATATATAATATTTGCGACGGATCGAGTTAAAAAAAAGATAGCTCTTTAGAAAAGAGCTTTTCTTTCGGACTTTAACGTCCTTTGAGAACTAAACAAAAGAATACGATTCTGTTTCGCATATTTACACGAATGCCTTCCCACAGCTTTACATCTTCGATAAAAGAAAAATAGACGTCGCAAGCAACATCTTTATCGGACCGTGCAAGGACTATACTAAAAAAACGACTTGTCAAAAATCTTGTATATTTTATGATTATTATTGTTTGGAAACCAAAGAGAGACAGATCGATCGATCCCTCACATTCTCGTTTGAGATTCGGTTGACCATTTCGAATCTGGTCCTCGGACCAAGCGCAAACGTTGAAAGCAAGCGAATATGTAAAAGTCGACGAAAGAAAAAATTCTTCGACAAAATTAATCAAGTTACTCGCCTTTACTGATGCGAATAATCTACTACGCTTCCTCGACGAGTATGTCGTAAGAAAAATTACGTTCTCCACCACATGTACGGTGGTCTACCTATACGTATGAATTTGTATCCGATCGGAAAAGAGGAAAGAGCAAAGAAATTTCGAAGAGCTCGTTCGCGAGCCGCGAGTCTAAAGATTCAAGGAGCATATCGTGCAGGTCTGGGCAACGCAATGCGAGTGTAAGTGGGATGGGTGCGACGGCAGGGGTGGCGGCGGGGGTGGCGGGGGTGGCGGCGGTGGCGGTGGTGGCGGCATGTAGAGCCAGCCAGCGCCCGCTGGCCAGACCGCGGACGATGAGGAGGATGACGTCGGGAGTAACGAATTGGTACTGCCTCCGGTACTGACGTGTGACGTCGGTCCACTCTCTACTCACATCACCTGAAACAAGGTCAAGCGCGAGCAAATCAAGTGCATGAGATTCCATTTTCTATTCATTTCGCAACTTTCATCGATCCGCATCGTGATCTCTTAACTTCACTTATTTCTCAAACTACACTGTAAAAAAATATGTAATATATTACACAAAAATTATGTAAAAATACATAAATAATAAGTGTAAAATTACACGATAAATAATAGAAATTTTTACCTTCTCATTATTTATCATGTAATTTTACATTTATTATATATGTAATTTTACATATTATATTAATGTAATTTTACACATTTTTTTACAGTGTACGTTTCGGGCAACGTCTCGAACGTACCTTATGTAAGGATAATTAGTAGTTTGCGCGTGTATCGCGTAAGAATAATTATCGCACGAATTTATCCCACGATAATGAACGATATCGCGTGACGTCTGCGCGATTACTCTATTACATATTGTTGTTTACATTTTATGCAAAATTCACGCAGCGTTACGTCGTCGCATTAGCTCGTATAAGATTTTTCACAAGAGGCTTGTAGGACCTTTATGCTTCCAAATGAAAGCTCGGTTTCAAAGAAGGGAAATTTTGAATATTATGAATATTTAATAATACTTGTATAATGTAATAACGATAGCAATATTTTATTAACATATACAATAATGGTGGCTATATTTTAGTAATAAAATAACAAAATTATACAAAAAGGTATAATATTATATAAACGTTTCGGACGAGATATGTTTTTTCTTCGCAAACTCGAGTCACATGCAAAAAAAAAAAAAAGAAAAAAAATTAATTTGCATAAACAGCTAAACAGATGCTGTATAATGTAAAAAAAATTATCGACTTAATTTAGCCTATTGTCAACTATTGCGTACGTTATATCGATGTCATTAATATAGTTTCGTAAAAGCTCGTCAACGATAAGATTTCAGGTAGAAGCTCGACAATTCGAAAGCTCTAGTTTCATCAGGTAATTAATTGCAAACGTAATCAACGTATATAATTCACAATTGTCGAGAAGGAAGCGTTTAGACTGTTATAATTACCATAGTTTAATTATTATTGAGCCAATGTATCAGGATATAATGTCGATGTGGTTTCAATACATTCGCAATACGATAGAAATTCAGCGGAAATGACGCGCGGTATAATAACGATAGTTTGAATTGATTCCTATATTAGTTTGGTCTGCGTACGTGCGTTATATATAGTATAGTAATATATAATAACACATTTGCAGTATCACCATGAATTTGTGATAATACTGTCGTATCGGTAGTATAGCTGCTTGAATTTTCGTTTAGCTATTTTAGTGATCGGAGAGACTGGTAATACCTGCAGTATCTGGCTCGCTTCGAAGGCCGTTCCCGGCAACAGTATGACCGGACTACTGACATGTCCGCTCTCGACGCATATCATGTTGGGAAATTCGTCGTCGCCAAAGTCCGGGATGTCGCGCGCCTTCTCCTGCCAGGGATTCCAAATGACGGTGTCGGGAAAGTTGTACTTTTGCACGCGCATCTTCCTACCGGACACGACATTCGTAATGATATGCTCCGGCTGCGTGTTCTGGTAGATCCTGTCGGTCCATTCGCACACCGTCACGACGTCGCGGCCCTCTTGAAAGATTTGGTTGTCCCTAGTCTGCGAGAACGAAACATTTTGTGAGAAAGCGCGCCTTTTGCGTTAAAGGGATCGGCGACAAATTTAGAATCAATTCGTATTACTTGATCATTTAATTAATTTGTCAGAGAAAATATTATGTAAATACTCGATTATTCAAGAATTACTTGACTACTCGATTAACCCCTCTTGAAAGATTTGGTTGTCCCTAGTCTGCGAGAACGAAACATTTTGTGAGAAAGCGTGCCTTTTGCGTTAAAGGGATCGGCGACAAATTTAGAATCAATTCGTATTACTTGATCATTTAATTAATTTGTGAGAAAAAATATTATGCGAATGCTCGATTAATCAAGAATTACTTGATTACTCGATTAACCAATAATCAATGTGGGAAATGAGTTGATTAATAATCTAGATTAGTAATTTTCGACTTTGATTATCGAGTAATCAAATTACTCAATTTTAATTACTGATTAATTATGTTATCGTTTATCAAGAACTGAAAATATTACCAGAAATAATTGATAATGCCGATTCCTGAGTTGGATCGATAAAGTTTCATACACATATATACTAGTTTTAAACTGGAGCATCGACTTGAAATTTAGCGACAGACTTTTACGATAATTGAAAAGGGATTACTTCCCTCGCTGGGTATGTGATCGAAAAGGAATAATTAATTGAAAAATAAGCGGCTCTTCTCCGCTTTCTAAACTTTCCCGGTAATAATCCCGGGAAAACCTCTCGATTAAATTGCATTTTAATTAGTCGGCTTAATTTTTGCAAGGCAAAAATAAAAAAGATGGAAAATCTTTACCTTGTCGACGAACGTGCATCCGTGCAACCCCGTGATCTGGCATCTCCTGACGTCGGGCACTTTGAAATAAGTATGTAGGAGCAAATTAAAGCTGAACGTGTCTTCTCTGCTAGGATTGTAGACGCCGATGTTGAAATGCAACTCTTTCTCGCGCAGTATTAGCCTGTACGTTAACCTGAACTGTGAATTCCATAGCGATCGCGTGAATTCGCTGTCCATTATCGAGAATATCGCCTCGATATCCCCGCTGGGTAATCGTTCCGGTGACTTTTCCACGTTCCAACGAATAATTCTGGCAAAGCCATGGGGCGGCCCGAACGTCCATGCTCCGAATTGTGCTGCGAAAATTATTTCATCATAATGTTCTAGATCTTGAAAAGTTATATCTTGAAGCTTCTCAAATGCTAAAATGAGATTCGTGATATTCGAGCTGATTTTTTTTCTTTCAAGTTGAAATTTGTTCCTTTAAAATTTTTTCTTTGTCCTTTACTTTGACGCTGTTAATGAAAATAAGTGATAGAGGAAATTACGACCAAATCAAACGATATATCAATTGGAACCAGTAAAAAAAAACTAAGTATTTGCTCTCCTTTCAAAAACACTAGAATTTATTTGCATATTTATTGATATAAAAAAAAATAAAAATTACAAAAAATAAAATTTAAAAAAATTAAAGAAGAACAAAAAATAAAATTAAATTATGCCTCTTGCTCTTGGAAAAAATCCTGCGAACGCCCATGATATCAAGTACATATATCTTATACCGCTTATATACTTACGGAAAACGAATGGTATGCCGCCTCTAATAGCTTTCTTTCCATCGAATACAGCTTGCTTACTGAAACATAAAGAATCAGATGTTGAAGAGCAAGAAAGTGTCGCGTGTATCTTAGACTTTTCTCTTATAAATTTTAATGCTTTTCCTTCGCGCCTCCCTTTCTATCGTACTTTTATACATCTCGATATAAAACAAATTGTAATTTACTATGCGTATTTCTGCATATATTGGATTTCCCACGTTTCATTATTTAACGAGAATTTTCTATGGAAAATCTGTAAAAATATATATTAAAACCATACGAAAATTTATTTGCTCACGCGCGCTTGTTTTTGCGTCCTCATCGTCGAAGCGTGGGTATTATCTATTATTTCCTCACTCGTAATAACAAAAAAAAAAAAAGAAAAAAGAAAGAGAGGGATCTACAGATATTGTCGATAGCGTTGAAAAATATGCGGACGGATAACTGTTGTTTGTTCCTGGCGTTGTTATTGCGAACGTATCAGATACGTAGCGTATCGGATTAATGAAAACTGTACATGTATAAACATTTTTTGAATCAATGAGAGGGTCTCACATTGCGGGGAGAGAAACAACGAAAAAAGCGAATGACTGAGCGAGAGTCTAAATCGGAGAGCGAAAAAATGTATTTTTAGTGCAATTTTTATAAATTTTATAATCGCGCTCTGTATACATATGTATATATATAATCGATGTACCCAAGATATGTAAAAAAAAAAAGGCGAAAAGGAATAAAAATGCATAAAATAATTTCTTCCTTCTTCTTGCACTTGTATACCTCTTCGGATTCTCGCACGGGAGCGTTCCATCAGCTCGTTTAACTAATTTACGAGGACTATGCGGAATTTTATGATCGCGTACAGGGCAGACAGGGTTGCAAAGGTGTATAAATAATCATACGACGTTACCGAGCGATTTCGTAAAACTTGACGGCAAACGAGGAGAAACGCAAAAAGATCGTCCTCGGTGTCTCGCGAATTAATTTTGCAGCGCGATTTAATTTTATAACGAGATTCTCGCCAAATTGAACGAGACGAAATAATGTTACTTGCGAAAACAATTATTGCTCTTTGCCGAGTCAGAGCTGTACGGTTGCATCAATTTTCGTCATTCCTTGGAGCTAATAAGTTAAAAAGGAAGATATATGTATAATTTATTATATGAAATACAGTTAGGTCGAGATAAATGGTTATACAGCTTGCAGATTATATTTCTTAATTGGGGAAAGGGTTCGGTTTCGTGGTTTTAACTACATTGTTAAGGTGAAAATAAAAATGAAAAAGGTGACATTTCTCCAAAGGTCGGTTGCATTGTTCGCGTGAAAGAAAAGAAAAAAATCTCAAGTTTTACTCAAATGGCACGTTTTTTACTGTACCGCACGTTCGTTCCGCAATAAATAAATTAACGCAACAAGCACCCTTGTAAAACTGTCAAATATCTTAATTTGACAGAGGAAAACTCACGACTATTCATTTCAACATAAGAGGTTGCTTGGAGCAACTATTAGAAGTGAAAGATATTTTTATTTAATATGTAAGAGAGACTATTAAAATGTTGTGCATATATTTCTAATATTATCGTAATAATCAATGAATATTCGTTTATATAATAATTTTTTTTTCAACATTCTAATAACTTGAAGAACCAAGAAATATATGAAAAACGCAAAATTATATCATTATTTTCTCTTAGAATTTATCCTGAAAATCATGGTATTACAAGGTTTATTTCCCTGATTAATATCTACCACAATTAAAATATAAAAAATGTACAATTAATACATATTGATATTTTATAATAGCATAATTGTCCTCCGATTACCACCAGAGTTTCAGGGTAAATTCTAAAAGAATTTTCTTCTTTTCCTTTTCTCTCGGTTAAAATATACGAGCGAAACAAATCGCTCGCTTGTAGGATCATCGGACAAGTTAGAAAACTCGTTGATCCCTTTCGTTAGCGCTAACTAAAACGCTCGGAGCGGTGCTGATATCGCCTGGCTGCGAAAGGGAGAGACGGAGACGTCGCGTTTTGCCCGAACGCGCGGAAGCAGAAGAGAAGAGCGAGACGGAGAAGTATAAAGCCGGAGGGCGGACGCAGGATGACCATTAGTCAAGCCTGTCAGGGGCCTCGGAGATGTTCTTAAGAAGGAGCTTGAGGATACACTCGGGATCCAAGGCTGGAAGACGCGCAAGATCGAGACACGTATATATCTCGAGAGAAGTTGTGTAATCTTTGATTCGCGCGATATCGGGATGACGAAAATTACCGCAAGGTCGTCTATAAATGAAGATTATTGTATATATACGATATTTGCATTTCTTTTTCTATATAAAGTTTGACGAAGAAAACAAATGTGCGCTCGATTATATGTCGACTGTTGATCAAAGGTGAACAAAAATATAAGATCTCGATGCGATTGTTCCAATATTCGTTCGCAGTCGATTTTTCGCAATTTTCACCGGCGGTCAGTCCCGACAGCCGATGATGCGAAGTTAATGACGAAATCTCGATTCCAGAGCGGATCTCGTCCTCTCGGACGCCGCTAATTCCCTCACAGCGATACGAATGTAATCCATTTTCCCGGATACGTAAACCGCGAAGAAGGAGGAGGAGATGGTAATCCCATCCGTTTGCACGATCCCGAGGCGAATAGAACACGCAAACAGAGATAGAGAGATGGACAGATAGATGGATCGCGACAAACTCGAACGTCACAGCTAGAGGAGAAAGACATAGGGAAGATGGGTAGAGAGAAGAGGGAGCGAGAGAAAAGAGCGAGGACAAAGGGGCAGAGGGAAGGATAGGAAACGCGATAGCGAGAGGGGGTGAGAGGGAGAGGAGCGAGAGGGTAGAACGATGTACCACCACGAAGTACGACGACGCGGCGGTAGGAACGCGGCTGACGCCGAGCAAAAACGATCGGCGCTGTCTGCCATGCTTTTTGCGGGCATCACAGTTTCCAACCTCTCTCCTCCTGGTCGTTTCTAGCCTGGTCGTATCTCCCCGTTGCCGCGCTCGCTACCCAATTCTCGACGCGGTTACGCCCGGCTTCCGCGGGATATCGTCGCGCCGCGCAAAGTATACAGGGTGCCTGCCTGGTAATTGGCGCTCGCGCGATGCGATCGTCCAGAGATATTTGCAGGATATATATCTTTCTTTCTTTCTTCCGTCGAGAAACCAGTCGGCTGTAATCCGGGAGATTCGAGTAATATAATCTCTGAGAAAAGTAGTACATGCGCTATCCAGGTAGCAAGCGTACGTCGAATGACGTCGTTAGACGTCAAAATCACGTCCGATAATGTAAAGAATACTACACACTTTATGTAAGATACTTATGCAACTTTTTGTCATTTATAAGTTCATCTTTCTTCATTCAGCAAAAATTATACAATTGTAAAATCAATTCTAAGATACATTCAAGCAAGTATAATAAGTCCGAAATTGCCGGAGCCAAAATGGCGTTGGATGATGTAAAGAATACACGCTTTACGTAAGCTATTTATGCAATTTTTTGTGATTTACCAGTTTATCTTTCTTCATTCACAAAAAATTAAATTGTAAAATAAATTATAAAATTATAAAATACATTCAAGTAAGTGTAACAAGTCCGACATTGTCGGAGCTGCGTGGAGCCAAAATGGCGGAGTTTCGTTACAATTGTGGCACTTGGTAAATCTAGTTTGCTTTAATATACATACATCTTCATCTCGCATGGACGGAAAGTAATAATCATTTTACAATAATGTGTATTCGCAGTCCTGGATTCGCGGATTGCAAAATTGGCAACGCGATAACACCCGAGGGAACGGAAAGAGAGGCTAACCTGTAAGTTGAAGCGAATCGACTTTCGCGGCACGTAGCATCGCGCGCCGTTTTGCGCGCTTTTTACGAGCGCAACAATTTTCAATCGACTTCTTCTCGCCGCGCGGCGACGCGAAATTGCGCCGATCCTTTCCGACGACCGCGAGAATGTCCTCTCGATATTCGCGGAACGCGAATCCTAAAAGGATCCTCTTCCTTCGCTCGCGCATTTCGATTCTTTGCACGCGCTCATTATCCGTAAGAAAGGAGGGATCCGCGAGATACGAATATCTTTCGCGTTGTTACGGTAAACGACTCGGGAGATTTGCGGCGCGGGAAGAATATTAACGAGCGGACTAATGAAAAATTTGCTCCTCGGCTTTAATAAGTCGTTAGCAAGCCGATGATACTAAAGAGCGATGAATCAGCGAAAAAAAAAGGAAACGAACCGCGGCTGAAAATTTGCCTGCAATTTTGATAAATGCCTGTTTTAATTCGGGAAAACTGCTTTAAGGTTGCACCTCGGTATTTAACTTTAAGATTTCCTCGATCTTTAAGAAGATTAATGATTTTACTATACTATATCGTATATTTATTTCGAGTAATCGGAAGACGCAATTGCATTTTATTCGTTCATTTGCCGGAGTCATTTCGTGAGAATTATCGATCATAGGATCACGATTTTTCCTTCGTGCAATTTAGACAGATTCGCGCGGTTCAGCGAAAACTAATTATCCGCACGACAGAATGTCCAGATACATGAAGAGCGTCATGAATCGACAGGATTATAAATAAGGTGTGACTGCGCGCTTTTGTGGCAGAAGACAATTACGCGACGCTTCTTGCGCCGGAGCTACTGCTATATCTGGAAGCTTGCTGTATCCAGAACGAATTCGCCAGAATTATATTCTAGAGATCGAGAGAGAACTTGTATTGTCGTCACGTGCGTCTACAATATTATATGACCGTGTGCGTGATCAGAACTCATCGTGATCTTGATAAGATTACTCGTAAAATCATGGAGAGATATTATAACAAACATGTAATTATCTAAAAAAAAAAAGAAAAAAACGCAAATTATATATTGGCTTCTATAATGAATCTCCGATTGATGCAAGGAATAATGTGCAACGCAAATTTTACGTGCATTAAATAGTTGCATGCACTTCACAATATTGCGTAAATAACTTATTTAGCGACATGAAAAATATCGCTGTTCTTATGAAGAAGCAGTGTTG